TCAAGTTGCAACCAGAGTCACGGAACGGATTAAGTTCGTAACTAGAGGTACCACTGTATTTCACTCTTTTTTTAGACATATATAATTTCTCTCCCATCTATTTTAATGTATATATTTTATATTGGCTTTGAAAAAAAACATTTTATTATTGTATTTAAACTTGATAATAAGCTGATTTAAAATATGAGAAAGCTGTATATATCTGTATCTATATCTAATCATCACGTTTTTCATCTATAACAGAGAATGAAAGCTATAATAACACCTAACGTGGCATATTGAAATTAATGGTACAATTCATCGAGACTATATTCCACCATGCAGTAGTCTTTATGGTGGCAAAGACTTAGAAAACAATACTAGCATGTCTATATATTGAACTGAATTCAGACCCTTACTGGGTTGGATTCAGTCAATTATAAGCAGACATGCTGAATCAAAGAGACTTATCTTAATAGTGTCTAGGTCAAAGCCCAATGATTTCTGTGGATCTACTCTTGAATACTACTATTAAGACTAAGTTCAATCCTTGCAGTCAAAATAATTTACTTCCAAGTAAATATATTCAAGCCGTCAAATGAATAATGCATTTTCCTCCATGGGTAATGTCATTTCAGGGTATCAACCAAATTTTATGCTGGATTCAAGAAAGCACTTTCTGAAACTCTTTCTCTACCTTCCAGGGAAAAGTAAGAAGAAAGAGAAATGCAAAAATCCTCAGCTATATCCACTGATTGAGACCCAGTTCTGCCAGTGTGACAAATACAATGCCCAGCCGGTTGGGAACTGGTCAGACTGTATTTTACCTGAGGGCAAAGTGGACATACTTATGGGAATGAAAGTTCAAGGAGACATCAAAGAGTGCGGACAAGGCTACCGTTATCAAGCCATGGCTTGTTACGATCAAAGCAGTAGACTTGTTGAAACATCCCGGTGCAACAGTCATGGTATTTAAAATACTCCTCCTCCTCCCCTATGAATTTCTTCTATATTGAATTTTTCAGTAGCTCTAATGGAAATTATGGTACTAAAATGCTTCTTATCTGATTTGTTGAAAGATGAAAGTTTAATTTATATCTGACAAAGACCAAATTATATCATTATTGTTCTCCCTCTCTCTCTCTCTCTCTCCCCTACTAAAACTCTCCTGTCTGTAATCTTCAAGTGAGCAAAACAGTGCATCATAGGGCAACAATTTTTGAACAAAGGTATTTCAAATGGGCTAACTTACAGAATGTGTCCAAAATCCAGGACCCATGACTCCCATGGGATTGAAATTTGGGAAATTTGTGGCTGCTTCAGCACTGCTGTGTTGTTGCACCGCCATGGTCAGCCCAGGTCATGTGTTTATCATGGGCGTATCCCTGACCTCTTTCCTGCCTTCCTCTGTTCCCTGTACCCAATCAGCTGGCGGCAAGGCCTGATGGGTGAGCGGTGATTGGCTGCTTTGGAACTGAGGCCAAAATTTGAAATCTCTTAATGGCATTAAGGGAAGTATGAGAAAGTGACTCGGATGCCTGCTGGTGAGGTAGGGCTGGATGGGGGCACTGGTGGTTGACAGGTGAGCCCTCTTCCTCCCTCGAACATGCCGGAATGGGGAGCAGGAGTGCAGTATTCCTTACAGTCCGTGACTCCATTTGTACCACCTTCCCCCAGCAAAGTGGCAGGAAATTCCATGGGTCAGTCAAGGAGGCAGAGAAGGCTACATGAGGGCTCTCCTGAGGGTGGTGAGGGGAGGGCAAATAGCACAAGCCTATATTATATGTGGAAAGGAAGGAGGGAGGGAGAGAGGGAGGGAGATTCCCTGCCAGCTTCCCACAAGCAAAGTCAATGGGGAAGCCAGCAGCAAGTTGCAAGTCGTTCACACTCCCACTGCTTTTTTGACCTTGGTCATTCTGTTTCTCTGTTTAGGTAAGGAAATATCTCTGAAACAATGACCCAGCAGGTCACGGTTGTCTAATATATATATCCCTCTGCTCAGTTTAAAATTCAACAAATAGCCATAGATGCTACAGATAACTACAGATGTTACAGACTCAACTGTCTGGGTCTTAGTCTATGGTCTGACCATATTGTTTTAAACTTCTTTAATATATACTTTGTATTAACTACTGAAATAAATGGGTTTTAAGTTAGGTATCACTTCCAGTGGATTTCAGTGGGCTCTAATGTCAATAATCTGGACATAATCCATTACTTTTTCTTTCTAGCAATGCCACATTTTTAGAGCAACCTCAAAATCACTTGGTTCTCCAAAGTTGTATTTTTTGAAATCAGGTGATTCCAATTTTAATATACTTTTTGTTCAAATGTCTTTGCTACTTTTCTATTATAGCTTTAATGGCAAGTTTTATTAATTTCCCATCATTCGGCTATTAATTTATGGAGTGTGTACATTTTAAATAATTGCTTATAACCATAAGCTGCTTTCAGCATATTTTTGAGAGATTTGCATTGCCCCTAATGAATTATCTGGTGTTGCTTATCGGAGTAGACCAAGGAGACCCAAATTGAGCCATGGTGTATTTGCACCATATTTGTGAATGATACAATACCTGATATATTTTCAAGATGCCCTCCTTGAATACCAGCAATTTAATATTTCAGTGTTTACATATAAAGAATGCTGGTTTTCATAGCCTTTACTATAGATGAGAAAGATGCCCAACTTTTCCAGGCTTCAGGCTGCACTGAGCTCATGAATTGCATCCTGTGATATACACTGTAAAAAAGTGGTGGGTAGATCCAGGACTAAATCTCAAACTAATTTCATGTAATTTGCATTTTATTTAATAAAAGTTAAATATACTTAATATAATTACTATTTATTCATGGTAATCTATACTGTAATTACCATGCAGCCATAACTGAGTAATTTTCCTTTTAAAAAATACAATTTAGTAACATTTTGGAGGTCTCTGGAGCAAATGGCCAAAGTTTGTAAAGGCCTAAGATCTCAGGTTGCATACTTCTCCTCCAGACCATTATGCTGGACTAACAGTTTATCCTATTCAGATAATACAGATTCATTTAAATTTCTCAAGTGAGTAGTGGTGATAAGTTCATTGATATTGCCCTTGTGGAATTTTACCAAAAGAGGCTATAACATACATAATAGTTGTTTTCTTGTGCTTCTGAACAATATTCTTCATTCCCCAATGAAGTTCTTCTTAGTACAAATATTTGTGGGGTTGTAGGCACACTCTTGTGATGTCACTGCCACTTGGAATGAGCTTTAAAATCATCTCTTGTTAAACCCTACTTTTGAAAAGAAAAAAAACCCAGCACCTTAGTTTTCAGTCTATGCCTGAAATAAATGTAAGTATAATACTTACAAATTGTTCAAAGCATGTATTGAATGTAGGCGCATCTCAAACAAGCTCCGAAATGAGAAGATTGTCTACTGAATATTTAAGGTGTGCTATACAAATAGCCACAGCAACATTAAAGATGCTCCCTTTTTGCAACCTACTGTATAGGTTGTGCCTTTATTTTCTGGTGAACTTTGATGTTGCATTGATAGTATGTATTAGGACTATGCATGAAATCAGATTTGAAGGCAAAAAGTTGCTTCAGGGCATGAATGTAGCACCTGTCTTCGATTCCTTAAAGTAGCTGTGCCTTCTCCTATGATCTTGTGCCCCAGGAAAAGATGTACTTGGTTTCAGGAGATGTAGAGAGGTGCTAAATTTGCACCTCATGCACCCTAAAGCACCTTTTTACTTTTGAAGTACTACAGAACTACACTCTACTGCAATATTTTAGTCTATCTCACCCTGGGCAAATTAGATGCCTTTTTTCCCCCTGTGGCTAATTCTAATTTTTTAGTCCAGTTCTTCCATCATATTGCTGTCTTATTCATGATTAGTAATTCACTGTATTTACAATTTTTATAAGCAACCTGTAGACATTTCGGTGGAAATCAGAACAAAGTATAAAGTTTGTGCCTGTAAAGAGAGATGACCTTATGGATACTTTGTCCCAACCTGTGAAAAGCTGTAAAGGTTATTACCTGCCTATTGAATTACACATGGAAATCAACTAGGAGACCTTGAGGATGGCAAAGAATGATGAGGTTTACTCATTTTGCCCATACCTGGTTTATGGTCTCTCGGTTCTACTCAGAACTAATTGACACTTCCATAATCTTTTGAAAGATAGCCCAGGTTCAGTGATTATCAGAGCATAAATAACTGAGAAAGAGCTTTCTCTGTCCTATAGAGTTGTAGCTGACTTACTATCCTAGGCTGGTATAAGGCTGTTCAGACTGTGTAGGCAATTTATGCCTCCAGTAATAGAAGTGGATAAATGATGCTCCTTTAGGAGGAATAGCAGCCCCCACAATACAGATTAAAAAACACATGCCTCCCATACATACAATTGCCACCAACCTCCATCTTCCACTGCACGAAGCATTAAATCAAGTCCCACTAGTATCCTGGATATCTCAAAAAAGATGGCACATGAAATTAATATATATTCTATTTTCTCAACTTATATCTTCAGTAGGATTTATATATCTGACCATCTGTCATTGTTCATTCAAGACTCTTTTTGCTGCTGGTGCTGGTGATGACTATTTTGGCAGAAGAGAGACAGTATTTCCATCAAATATTGAACTGAACACTTGAGATTCTGCATAGTATTTTTTTGTCATTTACTTTGTAATATCGACAAAACACTGTCAGCTGCTTGCATGATTTGTCATTCCAGTTTGAAAATAACCATGTAATTTGGAGACAATATTGGAATTGAAGACCAAGAGGGCCTTAAGTTGTATTATGGATCAGTCTGTGTTTTCAGATTCAGAGGCTGAAGAGCTTGATCAGACTGATTCTCATCCTGCACCACAGGAATTAACTGAAATGAGGGCACCCATGGAAGAGGCACTTAAGGAGAAGATACAAGTACAGGCTTAGTCAGCCGATGCAGAGTCTGAATTAGGCAAGATCTTGAGCCCAGCAACGCACCACAAATTACCAAGGAAAGAGCAAAGAAAGTCAAGGCAGAAGGGAGGGAGGGAGGGAGGGAGACTGACTGACTGACTGACTGACTGACTGACAAAATTAGTCAAGCTGGCAGTCAGGGCTATAAAAAAGGAGACTGCTTGACCAGTTCTTTGTGGCAAATTATGTTCTAATTCTCTACCTGTGATTCTGAACACCATTTTTTAAAAATGGTTCTCCTGGAAACTTAAGCAACAGGCAATGGTCTCTGGAAGGGGCAAGGTTGGCAAGATATCAGATGGCATGTCACAATTCAAGTCACACCCCTTCTGTGCATGTGTCACTGCAGGCCATTCAAAGGCATGGGGTTTGTGTGGTGATGTTTTGTCTACCATTTTGATCTTGAGACCCCTATCCTTGAGACAGTGCTGGCACAGCAAAATGAACTACTTCAATGCAGCAATAATGGATTCAAGTTACAAGAAGATAGATTTTAATTGCAGAAAAAAGGGAAAAAATCCTAACAGTAAGAGCAGGTCAACCATGGAACCAACTAGCTAGAGAGGTTCTGGGCTTCTCTTCATTGGATGTGGCCAAGTAGAAGCCAGGCAGTCATCTGTCTGGGATGGCTTATTTTGGATGCCTACACTGAACCAGGGTTTGGACTTCATAGCCTACATGGCACTTGCCAAATCTATGGCATGTTCCCTTTCAGGGCAAGCACCCAATGAATGTGTTGAAGTGCTAATGAAGTGAGTCATCATTACTTTATTGCCTTCTTGGCTGTGCAGTCATAAAGAATCTGATTATAGAATCACAGAATCTGATTATAAGAATTATTCTTCCTTTTTTAAAAAGCACATTGCTGCTACATCTACCATGAGCTATTGCTAGAAACATATTATTCCCATTGATCTTTGTATGTCATTTTGGAATTCTCTTGACCTGCAAGGTTTTGGGAGAAGTCTCATCCTTGAGTATGTCAGTGTTTCAGATATTGA